TTATAAGAATGTGGTGTTCGTGGAAGCATATATCCCCTGAAGCAGACAACTAAGGCTCATCCATCAATGCGGTTAATAGCTAAGGTAAAATGAATTTCAAGGAGCAGAAGGCAAAGAGAGTCTTCTGAGATGGAATGGAGGAATCGTACCAAATATAAAGCGCTTTCCACTTTGCTTAGACTTCCAGTGAGCCAGGCCCTCTGTACGTTGGTGAGGCAACAGTGCAGCCGGCAGACAAATGCATTGTACAGACAGCTACGAATTCGCGACTAACTGCAGCCACCAATGAGTCTTCGTGGAGTCTGCTTCATGCCGCTGTGCCAACACCCTCTCCCTCTGCACAGCCAAACACAACCTCTACCTTCTACTTCGACAGCTCCTGTGCGTCCATGAACTTCCCTTCTCCTCCGAGCAGCAGTGGCAGTGGTGGGAGTGGTCGTCCTTCAAATCATCCAATCATGGGCACTAGTCTCTATTCAGCCGGGAGCAGTGGGGGTATACAACGCTCCTGCACCTTTCCAAACAGCCAACAGGAGGCATTTGCTGGTGTCTCTCGGCCTCCTCAACCCTTATACAACCCAAGCTGCACGCCGGGCCGCGCTCTGGTGTCCGTGGAAACCCAGACTTCACGAGAACAAGTGACGGAGTTGGATGAGACCGTAGGAGAGGTAATTGGTGTCACAAAACGAAACCAAAGGCCGGTAGCGAAGCGACACTTGTACATCAACATATTGGACGATTTCGAGGGAGGGGACGTGAAGTTGTCCAGCTGACGGGCCCCCTCTCTTTTTGTGGATTTTGTATAAACCAACAACGATCTAGTATTCCTTTACCTGTTTCTCCCCCTTCCTTTCATAAAACACAACTGTGCATTATTTCTTTCATTTTATCGGTGTTGAAGTAATATGTATGCCAAGAGTTTGGAGATTCTCAAAGAGAAACAGTTCTTATCATTGAAATTCCAAATATACAGGTTATGAACCCTAGAAGATGCCTTTACTACACGATCAGACGCTGGGAACGTATGCCTAAGCAGGGGTGCACTTAAGTCTTACTCTTAGCGCTGCAGTATAATGCATTAGCTGGGGAACTTGCCGCAAAGTCCCATTCTCCTCTGGGGATTGCTATACCATCTAGCGCAGG